CGTAATTCTTCTTGCTTAACCTGCCACTGCCATTATACAAGTGAGTGTACATTACTGAAGCTAATTGACACTGCACTATGAACTTGCAGGGCCTATTGCATTTTGCTCCGGGGAAGCTAATTAACACTGCACGAAAACCCTTTGCTTAAGCATCTAACGACATTCTGCTCGTGCCTTAACTGTATCAAAGTTGCAAACTAATTTGTTTGTCTAAATGTACGTTTCGCAACTCTACAGCAGCGTTGCCGCCGGAGTCATCAGTGGATGAGACAAGGACGCCACCAGCGCTTGAATCACCTCCCACCACTCCCACAAGAGTCTTCTTCCCCCAGGTTGCTATCTTCTCATCGCACCTGCACCTGCTTTTGCTTGTTGGAGTATAAATTGGTCGATATAAAGTGTAATCTGGATAGTTGCTTGGTATAAAGTGTACTCCACAACAAACTCTGCTTCTGCAAAAAAGAACTCTGGCTATGTTTTTTGGAGAATAAAAAATGAAGGAGAAAGGCTGTGATGTTTTGCATAGCCTAGATGTGACAGTCTTGGCATTCCATAATTTAACCCAACTGAATAATGTTTTGCATAGTTTAACCCAACTGAAAGAGTTGATCGACATGAATTGTTTTCGGAGTAGTTCATCGACAGTACATTGAATGTTAAAAATTCAGTTAAGCAGGCATGATACTCCTATTCTTGGAGTAAAAATTCAGTTAAAGAGCTTTGCATCTCTGTTTTATTGCAAGCAAGTTTGCATCTCATTTTTCTTGCAAGCAAGTTTGCTGCAGTGTTTGCAACTTTCTAGGATTATCTATCCGTCTATCTATCTACTGGAGTATCTATCTATCTATCTATACCGGAGTATATATCCCAACAATAAATACTGGAGTATATATTCTTTGCTTCAGCTCTCTTCTTTTCCAACAATAAATACTGGACTATATATTCCAATATATAGCAAGTACTCCAAGTTTAAGCTGGAGTAGCAATATATAGCATAATATATAGTGTGTGGCAACAATAAATATAGACTCCAAGCACGCACATAAACACATACTCCAACAAACTGGAGTAGAATACACAACAAGTACACACAGAATACACAACAAACTGGATAGGATCAGCGTCCAAGCATCTCTAGTGCCATTGCATACACTTCAGGAGGAACTGAGATCTTGGGCAGTAGCAGTTGTAGCCTTTCTAGCCTATCATGGTTCATGTGTGGGATTTTGTATTTATTAGCTCCACCATTCTTCATTACTTCAACCATGCAAGTCTGCAGAGTTATGAATACTCTGTTAAGTTTTGAAACTTCATATCCATCGAACTCCTCTTGAACACCTTTAATCAGCTCTGGAATAGTTTTTGGACTTTTGCAGTCTGTTAGCGATTGAATAGAGCTGAAGAACCCAAGGTTCAGGGCATTCATGTCTGGAGAATTTGGAGGCTGATACATTATTCTAATGTCCAGGCCACTTTCGTCCACAGCTTCTGCGAATGCTTGATCATTAGGTAGGATATGTGTTCTCGCGTTATCTTGCTGGATAAAAATGGGCTGTCCATCATCATCTGCAGGCCACAATGCTTGAATCGCTAGCACAACCTTCTGTATAATGTACTCTCTCATCACATCCCTCGTCACTATGACAGGCTTTGTTTGCAATGTCCCTTTTTCCCTGTTCTTGCTTCTTTTTGCCGCTGCAGTCACTCTCACGAATTGCCATACCCCAATTTTTCCGGAGAATGTCATGTTCCCATCTTCGTCAAACCGTGGTCTTGCTACCGCTGTGAGAAACATCACTTTTCCAATAGAGTTTTTGACAGGTCTTTTCGGGTCCTCTTCGTCAGGCAGCAGATAGTAGTTCCTTTTTTTCTTGGTCATGGAGAACCATTTCTCGTCGATGTGAACAATATTATGCATACTCCTGAAACTTGGGCTTACATCTCCTAATGTTGCCTCATCTAGCATAGAGAGGCAAAAATCCACCCTATCTCTCTTATTTTTCTCTGTCAGTACCGGCTTTACCCTGTTGGAGTGTCTCCTTATCTTATTCAACTTGAACTTCTTATATAGTGTAGTAGGGCTTACACCCAGTGCCTTGGCTAGAGATCGAATAGTTGACCTCTTGTTTAAGGGAATTGTCTGAATGAGAGATAGAATATCATCATAAGACTTTCTTCCACAATTTTCCTTTCTTTTGTTTGAAACATCCACCTCCTGACCAAGGCCTTTCTGTTTCATTGCCTTCTCCCATATTCTTTGAATAACTCGAACATGTGCTCCAAATATTGCAGCCACGTCCTTCTTATCAGTTCTCTTGAACTTGCCTCCTCTACTCTTATGGAGGGTTTCCAAGGACATGTAAGCGGCATATCTCTGTGCATCAGTGAGCCAATTCCTTTGCCTTTGTACTCCTACAATAGCAATAGAATAATAAAATTAATTATTGCAAGAATATTACAAATTGGTTGCTGGAAATGTAAACAAGAGGTCAACAATAACAATAAAAATTCCATGGGATAGGAGTATTGCTTGCTTTGCTTGCTGTAAATATAAACATAAATGTTGGTTGCTGAAAATATAAATGTAAACTAAATTTGTAAATATAAACTAAACTTTATACTCCAGGATTGACCTCTGTTGCAGGCAAGCAAGCAAATTACTCCATAATTTGTTTTTGCATTGCTTTTTCTTTTTAATTTGGAGTAGTATAAAAATATTTTGAGGTACACTGCTGTTCTTGCAGCAGTTTCTTTTCCATTCCTAGCTGTCAGAGTATATGTTTATTTACACACACATACATGTTGTGAGAGTATATGCTGTTTGAGGTACACCATGGTTCTTGTGGAGTTTGTTCAGTTTGCCTATAAGCAAATGAGGCAAAAACTGAAATACCCCCACAATTGTCCAGGAGACCTCTGTTGCTTGTTGAAAATATAAATGTTGCTTGCTTGCTGAAAATATAAATGTAAATGTTGTTTGCTGATACTAATGTTGCTTGCGTTATCTCCTTTCTAGTATGCCTTGTGTACCATGACATTTCTTTGTTGTCATTTTAATTACTCCATACATAAGGAAAGAAAGGCAACAACAAATTTGATTACTCCACTAAAATGTTAATTACTCCATTCTAGTGGAGTAATCTTTTTTAGCCTTCCATAGAGAAGACTCTGATATCCATTTGATTTGATTTAGCCACTTTAATACTCCATAGTGGAGTAGTGTTGAATAACCTGTGAACAAAACGAAGCTTCCTCATATGCACTATTCAATCTTAGCAATCCCTTCTCTGTTATTTCTCTGAGGCATAATTTAATGCAAGATTAGAAGAAATTATACTTGAACTTTGATCAGCATTGTTGCCTTCTTCTTCAGGTTCTTCGTTGCCTTCTTCGGGTGGAGTGAAATTGAGGTCTGTGACTACCATGCTTGCAATTGGGAACGATATGTTGTTGTTGCTTCTGTTGAGGGCCAGTGATTTGCTACTGTCGATGTTGAGGATCTGCTGCTGTTGCTTCTATTGAGGGCCAATGATCTACTGTTGTTTCTTCTGTTGAGGATCTGCTACCGAAGGCAAGGAGCTACAGTTGAGGATCTGCTACTGTTGCCAGGGGACAAGCCGGCAAGGAGCACCGAGCCTGGAGGTGGTCACGCATGAGGAGCTCCTGATCTTCTCCCCTGGCCCCCGGCGAGCTGGACCTTTTGGTGACACGGGGAAGAAGGGAGGTGGTTCTGGGCGAGTTTGACCTTGCCGGCGAAGTGCTGCTGGGGCTGGCGGCCGGCGAGGTGCCCTCCTGGGGCCGGCGGCGAGGTTCCTTGATGAGCAGGAAGCTGGGCAGGGAGGAGGAGATCCTGGGCGGAGGAGAATCTAGGCAAGGTGGGCAGGGAGAAGCTGGGCGGCGAGCCGGTGGCGCGCTGGGAAGCGACACACTTGGCGAAGCGATCCCGATGGTTTTTGAATTTCAAATTGATCGAAGGGTATTGTTGTCCATTAGCAATTTTTGGGGGCTTTCGAAAATCTCCTCCCGCGCCTTACAAAAGTGAACGGAGGGAGTACTAGTCATAGATTCATCAAAATAAGCAATCAACACACAAAAAACAGAATCTGTCAAAAATAAAATAGTCTGTAGTAATCTGTAGGTTTCGAATACTTCTGAAACCCCAAAAATTCTAAAATAAATTGTTGAATGTGAGGAATTTATCTATTAATCATTTTCAAAAATAATTAATTAAATAGCACTCTCTAGCAGCAAATCTCGTGAACGCTAAAGTTTCTGTATTTTACAGCAAGATCGCAAAGACTTTTCCCGAGTCTTCCAAAGGTTCTATTTGGCACAAACACTAATTAAAAGCATAAAACCACATCTAAACAGAGGCTAGATAAATTATTTATTGAATAACAGCAAGAAAAAATATTGGGTTGTCTCCCAACAAGCGCTTTTCTTTAAAGCCTTATAGCTAGGCATAAGATTTCAACGATGCTCACATGAAAGACAAGAATTGAAGCACAAAGAGAGCATCATAAAACACGTGACAAACACATCTAAGTCTAACATACTTCCTATGCATAGGCATCTTATAGGCAAACAAATTATCAAGGCAAGCAAAAACTAGCATATGCAAGGAAGCGGAAAGAAACAATAGCAATCTCAACATAACGAGAGGTAATTTAGTAACATGAAAATTTCTACCACCATATTTTCCTCTCTCATAATAATTACATGTAGGATCATAATAAAATTCAACAATATAGCTATCACAAAACATATTCTTAACACGATCCACATGCATGCAAAGTTGACACTCTTCTAAAATAGTGGGATTAACATTAACTAAAGTTATGACCTCTCCATACCCACTTTTATCAAAAACTTCATAAGATTGAACATTATCCAAATATGTGGGATCTAAAGTTGACACTCTTTCAAACCCACTTTCAATATTATTGCAAACATTATTATCAATCTCATATTCATCATGGGGCTTAAAAAAATTCAAGATCAAAAGAAGAATCACCACAATCATGATCATTGCAACAAGTAGTAGACATAGCAAAACTAGCATTCCCAAGCTTAGGGTTTTGCATATTATAAGCACAATTGACATTAATAGAATTTATACTATCA